TATAGATTTTTTTCCTTTAGATCCGATGCACCAAGTATTTTAAGGTTTAGTCAGGAAGCTTTTAGGATTATGGGTAAACGGTCCAACCCGTTTACGTATAACGCCGACAGCCTTCGAATACCTACTGACACCGATACAATTTGAAAGGATTAGCGAGCGACTCTTGTCTTGTAACAGTAGTCTGCCCTTTGAATTTACACGAAGGGCCCGTATCCTTAGGGACTTTAGCAGATGGAAGGCAACGGAACTTTGAATAATCCTGTTATACACCAGTTTTTATGTCCTTAAGGTTATAATTAAGGAACCAGTTTATAATAATTTTATGTTACTTGCAGTATCGCTCAGATTACTATCAACTAGTGAAGTGTCTGCCGAAACTGCAAGATTTTGTTCTAATTTATTATATAACTTTAATTATGGTTTTCAACAGATTTATGGGGCAGATACCATCGTGTACAACGTTCACAGCCTTATGCACCTGCCGGAGGATGTGCTTAGGCATGGATCGGTGGACTCCTTTTCAGCCTTTGCACTTGAAAGTTAGTTAGGACGTCTTAAAGGGCCTGTACGAAAACCGCCTACTTCGCTACCGCAGATTACACGAAGGGGTTGTTGAGGCCATCGACGGGGGCATCCCCTCATTTTAGGTTATCTCCAACTCCTAACGATAGATTTTTTGTATGAATAATCAGTGGATGTACGTAAGGCACGTTCATGCGACTGATTGCGCCTTTTATAAATTATCTGTTTCTGTTTTGGAGGACGTTTCTGACGTCTTTGACTTTTCCATATCTTCCAAAGCAGTAGGAATTTGCAGTGCCAAGCTTTCAAAGTATACCTTTGAGATACCGGTAAGTGAACCTTTTGATAAATTTATTGATTTTCCTTTACATGACTGTTTTCTCTTTGTACGTGTCATTTAATGTTTGTTTGAGTGAATAAACTATTCTTCTCTATCCTCGGACTCCATCTAAAGTATCTTTTTGCACCTTAAAATGTTTGAGGTCGACATGCGGTATACGCGGCCTCTTTTTAGCAGCAGTTCAAGTCACGGCGGGCATACACATCACGGATGACCTGCCAAACTTCGACTATCCTCGCCAAGTGGTCTGTAGCCGCAGTGGACGGAAAATAAGGCCGGTATATTCGAGTGAAACTTTTGCACTTGGGGAAAATGTTCTGGACGTACGCTTTAACATAGTGACGCCCCCCTGGACTATTGAGCATGCTTGGTTGTTCACTTACAGATAAAGTTCAAATGTTCCACTAACCTGCTTTAGAAGGAAACAACCAGCGACCCACTACATCGCAGCCCACGGTGGCTGAGATGAACACTGCAATGCCGGATGTCGATTGGCAGAATCGCATGTACGGTAAGTACTGCAGTTAGCCGTATATACCTTTTTTAGCCGGCCTAACGCTAGTGAATGATCGAGTGGCCGTGTTGGAGGAAGTTGTTATTGGCCGGCGTACAATAACGGCTTACACGAGGACATTAGATGCAACGGCCGGCACGAAGACGTCAGACGCAGTTGTGTGCCCTTTACTGTTGTACATGTCGCGCATGGACAATTTTGAACTATTTGAGCGGAAGCTGCAGGACCTTGATTTTTGGCAGCGGGCGGTATGACTTTCAATAGCTATTAACTATTCTTACAAATTCATATAGGTTGTATACTTACAGATGCAGGGCGGGAAAGCACCCCGTGTGTTTGTCGAACGAATGACCAACCTCCTCTTCGACAAACGCCTGATGGCCAAATTTAGTACCAGCGGACGCATAACAAGAAGAACTTTTGTGAAATTAAGGCATATGAGTTGCTCCAAGGTATGTATCTAATTCTACTAATTATTAATCTTCCGCTTAGACGTATATCTGCCGTAAAGTAGAAAACAGAAAACTACCATCAAGGAGTTCTGAGCCGCGATTCACTGCGTTCTCAAAGCAGCCGGTAGAAAGATGAGAAAGGCTATCAATAAACGGAATTCCATACTATCTTCATGCACAAACGAAAACCCATAGACGTCCTCAGCCATTATTTGTACATGCTTCCTTGAAAATCTTTCACAATAAACATGCTTTTTACAGCCGCCTACTCCAGCCTGATTTGGGGGGAAAGGGGGCGACTTAAATGGTCCTAGGAAGGGGGGGCTCCTTTAGTTATGTTGACCACACGGGCTGTTTGTTGGGGGTGGGGGGTTTCTTTGGTACCACAGATAGATGATCATTAGAAAGAGGAATTATTAGATTTAGAAAAGCCATGTTACATGTTTCACAAGAGCGGTGCAGTAAAAAGCCACGTTGACAGGAGTTGAGAATTTGATAGCTTATGCAAAAATCTGAAAATTTTTGTGCAATTAGTTTTGCAAGGAATTGGGCAAGTGAAGGCGCTTTATGAACACCATGGTAATTATGTATGGCCGAGCGGGGACCAAATTTAAAAACTGAAGTTATCATAGAGGTTTTGCCATAATCAGGGAAAAAACT